GTTAGGACAAATGGAATGCATTATATTTTTTACATTGACTATCAGAATTTTTTTGTTTAATTTTTATTTATTTGTTTATTTTTTAGGTAGCCCTGGCTATCCTGGAACTTCATATGTAGACCAAACTAACCTCAAACTTAGAAAGATCCATCCACCTTTACTTCCTGAGTAATAGAATTAGGGACATAGACCACCATTTCCAGCCTTAATAGAATATTTTTAAAAGGATAAAATTAGTATTTAGAAGATTTAAAAGGTTGAAATAAAAATTTAAACTTTTTAATAAAATCTGAACAGATGATTTCTCAAAATTTCTTTTGGATATATATGTATATATATTGATTTGGCATGTTGCAGTCCTGTTAATTGGCTTTCAAGTTTGCATAAAAATTAGAATTTCGAACAAACTTTGTCATCTGTGTTTCAGAATGGTGTAAAGTAAGCAGAGTGTTTGAAATTCAGCATGTAGTTGGTTACTCTAGAGAGCTTAATTAGTGTAGCTGCCTAATATAAGAGGCAGTTTAACAGACATTTGAAAGCAAGCTTCAGGTTGAAAGCGGTGCCCCCTGTCTCAGAAGAGTAAGATGGAGAGTGATAAGGAGGACGCCCAGTGTCCTTTTGTGTTCTCTACAGACCCACGGATGCATAATCCTGTGCATGCATAATACATATGCCATGTAGACACAGTGCTGCACACAAAAGTAATCTGAAAAGTTAGTATTTTATAGCGTAATCATGTTCATTTTTCTAAAGCCCTGGGAGTGCTCATGATTTTCTTTCAGGTTCAGCTGGTTTTAGTTTCGGATGACCTGTCCACAGATTAGAGTAGCCTTAGCAATCATGAATCATTAGTGTTTCAGGACCTACATGACTGTGTATGTCCATCAGTTTTTCACTAAAGTGGAAGCCTAATATTTGTTCATTTATATTTATAATATAAATATATTTATAATATAAATATCTTATATTTTTATCTTATATTTATAAGATAAAGCTTCTGGATAAATTATTCTCGTTATTACTGTGTAGTGGCTTTCTTTTGTATCTCTTTTGATTAATTTTACCATGAACTTTATTCCCTTATCAAAATAGTCAGCTTGTTGTGGTTTCTATTTACTTGGTAGATTGTTTTTCACCTTTTGATTCACTGTTTTGGCCCTTACACCACTGAGGTGTATTTCTTGGAAACAAAGGATAGCTAGATTTAGCTTTTCAACCTGCCAAACTGTGTCCCTTCATTGGTGAGTTGTGATTACTTACATTTTTAAGTTAATATTAAGAGACATTTATTGATAATGATAATTTTGTCAGTTTTTCTGGCTAGTTGGACTGTTGTTTAACCTTTTCTCTCTTGTTAGCATTAGGACGTGAACATGATAAATTATTTTCTAGGTTTCTTTTCTTCATCCCTTCCTGTCATGAAATTTGCTTTTTTTTCTATGCTCTTATGATCGACACTGTGTTGCTTTCTGTGTAGTTCCTGTAAGTATCTACAGTAGTGCTGGGTTGGTGGTCATGAATTGCTTTCATTTTTGTCTTTAAGTGTCTCTGACTTTGTCAGTTTTCACATTCACTGAATGTAGCACAGTTCCATGTTTCTTGACTTTTAAGGATACTAATAAAAAATCTGATTTCATTCTAAATTCTAACATGTTTGCCTTTATGAGTTGGAGGTTTTTCCCACACAGCTTTTAATGTTTTTTGTTTTTTTCATTAAATTTTTTACATTTTGACTTTGTTGTGTTCTGGAGAGCCCCATGTCTGTTAGGGGTTTTAAACATCTCTTGTGTTTGAATGTTTGTCTTTATAGATTTAGAAATCTATAGATTTATAATGTTTACTGCAGATCATTCTATTCTGTGGATTAATAGATTTGGTGCCTTGATTGTATTTCAGAATTCTTAGATGTTGCGGTGTGCCTATTTGTTTACTCCCTTATTGATATTTAATTGTAGTTCTTTGTTTAACTTGCTGTTTATCTTTGATTTGTTTAATTCTGTCTTCTGCTCGGTCAAGTCTGTTGCTGGTGCTTTCTGCTATTTCTTTGTTTCTTTTTTTTCTCATTAAAATTTTCATTTCCAGTCATCCTCAATATAAGTTTCCTTGTTGATTTGTTTTCTATTTTGTTTTTTTTTAAACCAGTATTGCTGATTATTCCTCCTCCATTTTCCTATTTATTTTTCTTTTTCTTTCTATGTTGCTAACTTTTTGGTTTCTAGATTGAATTTATCTGCTTGCGTTTATCCTCTTTCACATCTTTATTTTTACTGATAATCTTATGAAAGTTTTATCCTAGATTTTTATATTTTAGTATGTTGTAGTTTGGTAGTTGATGTGTTCCTAATCATTTTAAGGAATGATACCTTAGTTTTTCATATTTCTGTACCACTGTACTGTAATTTGCGTGTCTCCTGATAAGGCTTTCTCTTACTGGGAGAGTGAGGATCTTATCACTCAGCTACTCTTAAAGGCTTAATCCCCAGTTCAATTTAGAGAGCAAAAGACAAAGTGCTTTAACAGCATCATCAAGTCATAGAAATGCAAACATAAGCTGAATGTATATTAAAGCCTTCTAATATACTAATGAAAGACTACTGTAATATTAGCACATTAAAAATTAAGTAAGATAAGTATGCATATAGTTAATACAATAAAATCAGTGTCTTTGTTACTTTTGTACTACAGTGACAAAGCACCATGACCAAAGCAACTTATAAAAGAAACCATTTAATTTGAGTCTCACAGTTGCAGAGGTTTAGAGTCCATGTCAAGGACCGTGGTAGCAGTAGGCAGGCAGGCATAGTACTGGAGCACTAGCCACGAGCTCATATCTGACCCAGAGCCATGAGGCAGGAAGAGGAGTGTGGTGTGATATGGAGGTAGATACTGGGAATAGTGCAGGCTTTTGAAACCTCAAAGCCCAGCTCTAGTGACACACCTTTTCCAACAGGGCCATACCTTCTAATTACTCCCAAATGAGAAACAAACATTCCAGCAAATGAGCAACTAGGGACTATGCTCCCCGAAACGAATAGAGGACAAGCAAAGGTACATAAATTAAAAGGGAAATTTAAAAGAATATTATGAGGGTGTAGAAAAGAGCCAGATATTAAAGTAGAAAAAGGAGAGAATACCAGTGGAGTGGTTTTCATAAGCAAGATTAGTTAAATGAAGGAAAGAAGTTAAGGAAAATGTGCTTTTTAATCCAGTGGATTCAAGTTAAAATAGTATTAAAAGTAGAAAACAGCGGGAAAGGGGGAAAATGTGGAAACAAGAGAGAAGGAGAAGGAAAAATGAGTGACCAACAGTGAATACATAAACATTAGATTAATGTATAAAAAAGAAAAACAAATAGCATGATGTAAAAACATACACTAAATAAAAATATTGTTTAAAGTTTAGTAAAAAGGAAAAGTGGAATACAAAGATTAAAAGAAAAGGTGAAGTATTGGAGCAGTTTCTTTCCGTGTCTTGGAAACTGTAGTGTTCCGGGTGTATGATATGTTGGGAGGGTTTGTTCAACTTGAGGACTTTGGGCTTCTCTGGCTTCTGCTTTTGTCGGGGCTGTACTGGACAAGTATCTGATGTCTGCTAAAACTATCTTCACTTCAATAATCTCCCTTCTTGTTCTTGTACTGGGATCTCTGCACACCATACTTAACTGCAATATGTGGGCTGGGCAGGGTATTCTATTTTACTGAGATTCTACACCTTTCCTGATTCATATTCTCCAAGGGAGGCTAAATTATCTAGCTAGTTATTGATTTCCAAGTGTGTTAGAACTGTTGGAATCAGCTATAACACTGGGCTTTGTACATTCATAATACCTGCCTTTATACTTTCAAAATAGATGGCTTCAGAGTTTTATCTTCCTGCTGACCTCAGGCTTGGAACTCTCAGACTCTTCAGTGTGACTTTTCAGGTTAACTTTTCAGTTAACCAGGTCTTTCCTGGCACTTCCTCATTTTATTGGAGCCCTTCCTACACACAGTTCTTGTCAGTGTCTGACCTAGTTCTATACAGCTGCCTTACTCTAGGGTTGTGGCAGGCCAAATTAAGACTCCCTGGTCTGTGTTTGCTTTCTGTGTACAGTCTCTCAGGGTAGCTAAGTTTTACTGTTCTTGTGGTGTTTGTTTGTTTGTTTTGTTTTTTGACAATAGGTACTCTTTCATGATGATGCTTTGCCACTGCCCTTCTAGTCATATAAAATAACACAATTGGACTTCTTTCTACTTCTGGCCCATCACCTGAAACAATCACTGTCTTATAAAACCATAATTGGATTATAGGTTTTTCAGGGTTCTGTGCTCTTCTACTTGGCTTATCTTTTAGAAGTGGCTTCTGCTTTCCTTTCCCTTGTGAGAGAGGCATGGGAACTCTGAAATTCATACTTCAGTATGCTATACTTTTCTTTGAAGTCTTCTTAGATATTTCCCAACAGAATTATTATGACTGATTTTAGTTTTTGACTGTGTACACAAAGAATTACAAGCAGTTTATTGTTTCAGAAGACTTCACAAGAATAAAAGCTACCTTTTAAGATGTTTGATACTATAATATGATGTTGAGTGAAAAACAAGGGCTTCAATAATAAATGAGTGAAACTCTATAAGGGGAGATGGCAAGTCTCCCAAAAGTAGATGAATGAGCATGATTTCATCTAGACTTTAAAGGGTTGGTGTTGCCATGACAGTCGGGGCTGGCTACTTAAGAAGGGTAAAATAAATAGGTGTTTCAGATAGAGAAGCTACTGAGCAAAAGTTAAAGACACAGGAAGGAACAGGACGTGTTTGGGAAAAATTGAAGAGTCTAGTTTAGCAGGCTGAACTGGTCAGAGTGGTGATAGGCTGCTGTAAAGAAATAAATGCTAAGGTCAGGTTATGAATAACCTTGAACAGATATTTGTGGAAAGCTATCCGTTGCTGTGGATTTTGTTTAGAAAATACTATGTAGCTAACTATTTACTTAATGGTTTAAGTACTTGTATATTTTATTTATAGAATGCCAGTTAATGAAAACAGAACGACCAAAGCCAAATACATTTATTATCAGATGTCTTCAGTGGACCACTGTTATAGAGAGAACATTCCATGTAGATACACCAGAGGAAAGGTAAGAGACTTGTTCATTTTTATTATGTTAAAGAAATAGTCTAAAGATATATTTGTAGCTGGATTCATTGTTTATAATCAGATATAAATATATTTGCAATATATTACACTTTATTGTTCTGTTTCTATTGTCTTGCATATTTGACTGGGCCTGGAAAAATAATGAATCACCCTTGGATTACTTTAAAATAAACTTTCTCAGAGAAAATGGTGCACGAATAATTTTTTTTAATTGAACACATTTTATATACAAACTAACTTGTAATGCATCCAGTTGGTTGTACTCATGTTTGAAATTTTGAATAAAATGTGGTAGTAAATATATTCAAGCAGCATTCCTGCCTGTATTCATGTTAGGTTCAGATAGCTGTCTGGAATATTATGATGAGAAGGATTCTGAGAAATTTGTCTTAAGTTTAGAATATTAGCGAATAATAGGATTGATTAGAGTTACTAATCGATGTCATGTTACTGATGAGCAATAACATCATGATATTGATCAGCTTTATGACAATCATGGGCTATACTTTCATTCTTTAATCTACTGTTTTTATATCTATTTTCTTACTTTCTAGTTCTATCTTAATATCCTTTTATCTAATGGCTTCATAAAGAGTTAGGTCTAGCAATCTCAATCACCAAGTTACTTTTCTGCAGATGTTATTAATGATATTAATAGCCTCATTTTCTAAATGGGTAACATGCTTCTCTATGACTTTAAGGAAAACAAAATAATCTTTTAAAATCCTAATAAATGAACAATGACAAGAGTTTTGATTGTTTTTTGAAATACTCTGTTATTGAGCCTATGGCTTTGTAAATGCAACGTGGGTGTTCTGTTATTGAGGTGTAGAGCTAGCCCTAGGATTTTTGTTCGTTTGTTTGTTTGTTTCTTTTCCAGACAGGGTTTCTCTGTGTAGCCTTGGCTGTCATGGGCTCGCTTTATAGACCAGGCTGGCCTCAAACTCAGAAGTCTGCCTCCCTGAGTGCTGGGAATATAGGCAAGTGCCTTTCCCTAGCATTTTTTATTTTATAACATTTTTGATCAATAAATTGTGAAGTTTTTGCTGTATAAGTGATACCATTTCCCCTTTGAGAAAATATTGTCGTTCTGGTCATTGTTAGGGTTCATAGGCATACACCTACATTACACCTACATAACCTACATTGGTTACTTTCTCTCTGGGCATTTTGCATAGCTCCTTCCAGATCTGTGAGAACTAGTTATCAGGAAGGGAGCTTTCATACCAGATAATGATTGATTCCTCTAAATCCTCTGTCTAAGTGGGTGGTATCTCCAGGGTGTTTTGAAATTCCTTTTCTGAAAGCAACAAAAGGCGATAGCAATAGCCTGCATTGTTTGGGGCTATCTCCTGACTCCCTACCAAAAGCTCAAGAGGAGTTTTTCCATGCACTTAAGGTTTTTGTTGATAGTCTAGGGTTTGGGGGATTATATTGTCACACCAAAGTAACTTCAGTTAAATCATGTGTGTGTCTGTCTCCGTGTGTGTAGACAAACACATTATATGCAATAGTAAGTGAACATAAACGATTCTGATGTAAATGCTACTCCTGACTCTAGGCTTTTAGAATTATTATCCCTTAGGGAGGGTGGCTACACAGTAGACTATTTGTATTCATCTTAAAATTTACAAATATTTAAGTTAACTTAACGTCTTTCGTTAATGGAAATTGAACTCATTCTTATAGAGAAGAATGGACAGAAGCTATCCAGGCTGTAGCAGACCGACTGCAGAGACAAGAAGAAGAGAGAATGAATTGTAGTCCAACTTCACAAATTGATAATATAGGAGAGGAAGAGATGGATGCATCTACAACCCATCATAAAAGAAAGGTAGAAAGTAATGTTGACTTATTCGCCTTCTAAATAGTCTTAATTTGTTTAGAAAAAATTTGCTGAAAACTGCTTTTGAGAGCGATGTTAGCCAATTTTCTTTTTTTTTTTTATAATCTTTTATTTTTTATTAATTACACTTTATTCATTTTGTATCCCCCCATAAGCCCCTCCCTCCTCCCCTGCCGATCCCACCCTCCCTCCCCTTTCTGCATGCATGCCACTCCCCAAGTCCACTGATAGGGGAGGTTCTCCTCTCCTTTCTGATCTTAGTCTATCAGTTCTCATCAAAAGTGGCTGCATTGTCCTCTACTGTGGCCTGGTAAGGCTGCTCCCCCCCCCAGGGGGAAGTGATCAAAGAGCAGGCCAATCAGATTATGTCAGAGGCAGTCCCTCTTCCCATTACTATGTAACCCACTTGGACACTGAACTGCCATGGGCTACACCTGTGCAGGGGTTCCAGGTCATCTCCACAAATAGTCCTTGGTTGGAGTATGCGTCTCTGGGAAGTTCCCTGTGTTCAAATTATCTTGTTCTGTTGCTCTGCTTGTGGAGTTCCCGTTCCCTCCAGCTCTTACTATTTCCCACTTCTTACATAAAATTCCATTCACTCTGCCCATCAGTTGGCCATCAGGCTCAGCATCTGCTTTGACAGTCTATACTGCAGAAGCTTTCAGAGGCCCTCTGTGGCAGGTTTCAAGGTGGTTTCCTGTTTTCTTCTGGCTTTCAGAGGCCCTCTGTAGCGGGTTCCGAGGTTGTTTCCTATTTTCGTTTTCTTCTGATGTCCATCCTCTTTGCCTTTCAGGATGGGGATTGAACATTTTAGTTAGGGTCCTCTCTTTTGCTTAGTTTGTTTAGATGTACAGCTTTTAGTGGGTTTATTCTATATTGTATGTTTATATGAGTGAGTATATACCGTGAGTGTCTTTTTGCTTCTGGGTCAATTCACTCAGGATGATCCTTTCCAGGTCCCACCATTTACCTGCAAATTTCATGATTTTCTTATTGTGTGTTTAACTTTGTGAACCTGAAGTACCTTTTGCTTAAAGCCAAATGATTGACCAACACTTGAGCACTGGATGTTTGTGGGACTTAGTAAAGAGTAGAGACTGATGTACTTTATAGATGATATTTTATCTTGTTGGTAACAACACTTTAGAAACTTGGAAATCAAATGTTTTCCCTAAGGGAAATAACTCTGGAGTTTCTGCCCTGTGCCTTCAATCTCATGAAACCTACCTGGAAAGTGAGAAGTCACTAAAGTAATACCTTTTCTTTTACTTGAGCTCTGAGCTAATCAAGAAAGAAAACTCAACTTATTTTTCCTCAATGCTTCAGATTAATATATAATTTAATAGGAATTGTAAATAACATCTTCCATTACTATAACAATTTTCAAAATAACTTCTTTATGTAACGTATTTAAAACTACTGTGATTATTTGGAAATTCTCACATACAGGAAAGAATGGGCAGAAAGTAAGTGGAATTTAAAATAGTTTTATTGTCAGAGAAAGCGCCAAATTTATTTCCAAAGTGGTTGTACAAGTTTACATTATTCCCACCAGCAATGGAGGAGAGTTCCCCTTTCTCCACATCTTTTCCAGCATGTATTGTCACTTGAGTTTTTGATCTTAGCCATTCTGGTGGGGGTGAGGTAGAATCTCAGGGTTGTTTTGATTTGTATTTCCCTGATGACTAAGAACATTGAGCATTTGTTTAAGTGTTTCTCTGCCGTTCGATATTCCTCTATTGAGAATTCTCTGTTTAGCTCTGTACCCCATTTTCTAATTGGATTACTTGATTTGTTGCTTTTAAACTTCCTCAATTCTTTATATATTCTGGATATCAGCCACCTGTCAGATACAGGGTTGGTGAAGATCCTTTCTCAATCTGTAACCTGTCGTTTTGTTCCGACAACAGTGTCCTTTGCTTTACAGAAGCTTTTCAGTTTCATGGGGTCCCATTTATTGGTTGGTCTTAGAGCCTGTGCTGTTGGTGTTCTGTTCTGGAAGTTGTCTTCTCTGCCAGTGAGTTCAAGGCTCTTCCCCACTTTCTCTTCTAACAGATTTAGTGTGTCTGGTTTTATGTTGAGGTCTTTGATCCATTTAGACTTTAGTTTTGTGCAGCATGATAAATATAGATCTATTTGCATTTTTCTAGATATAGACATCCAGTTAGATCAGCACCATTTGTTGAAGATGCTGTCTTTTTTCCATAGTTTTGGCTTCTTTGTCAAAAATCAAGTATCCATAGGCATGTGGGTTTATTTCTGGGTCTTCGCTTTCTCAGACAATTAGGAATAGTGCTAACTCAAGCTATAGCACTCTTAGGCATATAACCAAAATATGCTCAAGTATCCAAAAAGGACATTTGTCATGTTTATAGCAGCTTTATTTATAATAGCCAGAATCTGGAAACGACCCAGATGTCTCTCAGTGGAGGAATGGATACAGAAATTGTGGTACATTTACACAATGGAATACTATTCAGCAATTAAGGAAAATCATGAAATTTGCAGGCATTTGATGGGAACTAGAAAAGATCATCCTGAGTGAGGCAAGTCAGAAGCAGAAAGACACACATGGTATATACTCACTTACAAGTGGATATTAGACACATAAATACATAAACATACTAATATCTGCACACCTGAAGAACCTAATCTAGAAGGAGAACCCTGGGTAAGATGATCAATCTTCACTTAGAAAGGCAAACGGGATCTATATCTACAGGGAACAGGACAGGAGCCTACCACAGAGGGCCTCTGAAAGACTCTACCCAGCAGGGTATCCAAGTAAATGCTGAGGCTCATAGCCAAACTTTGGGCAGAGTGCAAGGAATCTTACAAAAGAAGGGGGAGATAGAAAGACCTGGACGGGACAGGAGTTCCACAAGGTAAGCAACAGAACCAAAAAAAAAATGTGGGTCCAGGGGTCTTTTCTGAGACTGATACTCCAACCAAGGATCATACGTGGAGATAACCTAGAACCCCTGCACAGATGTAGCCCATGGCAGTCCAGTGTTCAAGTGGATGCCCTAGTAATGGCAACACGTACTGTCCAGAGAATTCAGTGGCTGGCTCTTTGATCACCTCCTCCTGAGGAGGGTGTAGCCTTACCAGGCCACAGAGGAAGACAGTGCATCCAGTCCTGATGGGAGCTGATAGGCTAGGGTCAGATGGAAGGAGAAGAGAATCTCCCCTTTCTGTGGACTGGGAAAAGGGCATGGGAGAAGATGAGGGAGGGAGGGTGTGATTGGGAGAGGACGAGGGAGGGGGTTATAGCTGGGATACAAAGTGTGAATAAAGTGTAATTAATAAAAAATAAATTAATTAAAAATAATTTTAAATAACAGGAGTATACAAAAGGTATGTTTATACCACTGGCTGATCTATAATGATTCCAATGATTTAGTTTAATGTAGTCTAGTATTATAGTTAATTACTTATATATGACAACTGCATTTAGAATAATTTGAGTATTTTGTCATTTTTTTAGTGCTTTTAGATGAAAAAGAAGGTCCTAATTACAAGTCATGTTAAACAACAAAGTCAATTTATGGTGTGATTAAGAGACTTTTAACCTATTTGTTGTCACGGAAGTAGCAGAAACCAAAGCAGTGTCCTGTTTATGGTTTTGTTGCTGGCTGGGCCATTCTGTTCTTTTTGCATTGATCTTTAAATAGGTTATTTTTGGCTGCCCATGTGCTACCCCTTGAAAAATCCAAAGAAAAGTTTGTTTTGTTCATGTTTAGTGTTGACTTTTACCTTTGATACCAACCCTCATGGTTCTGCATTTTCTCTGTGCTTGTGGTTTCTTATTTCCCAGAAGATCTTGGTACATAGTGTTTCCTCCATCAAGGTAACCTCATCTTCCACACAGAAGGAAGCTTGAGAATTTCTAAGAGAGAAAACTGTAGTTGCCATGCCTAAAAACTGTCTCTAGAACTTTCCTAGACTATTTGATCAAAGACAGTTAGGAAGCCATGAATTTGAAAAAGAACAGGAAGGTTACAGGGAGGGGCTGGAAAAAAGGAAGGGATTGGGAAAATTATAATCTTAAAAAAAACTATTAAAAATGCCAGCCAGATAGAGATTGAGAGTAAGGGAGGGAGAGAGCAAGAGGAAAGGGTGGAGGTAGGAAAGAGACAGATTGGTATTCAATGGGTACAAGACAAGCCATCTTTGAAATCTGATTGTTTGGTCTTAAACCTCTATGTTTTTAAAGCTGTTAGTGATATCTAATGTGATTAACTATATATTATTTTTCTAAGTGACTATATTTGTTTTCTACAGATCGGCAGCTACAGGCTTGTTTTTAGTTAAATTAATAAGTATACATTATTTTTCCTGTTCTCTTTTTAGCATTTACTTTTTTCCTTTGAATGAGATATGTTAAAGATGTTATAATTTGTCATTTGGATAAAATTATCAAAATTATTGGGAAAGGATATTAAATTTTAGCATTCATTTATGAAACATTTAAACATTTCTAAGTATATACATGAAGGACAATTTTAGTTTTTTTTTAAATAATTTTTATTTTATTTTATATTAATCACAGGTTATTTACTTTATATCCCAGCTGTAGAACCCTCCTTCATTCCCTCCCATTCCCACCTTCTCTCCCTCATCTCCTCCCTGCCCCTTTCCAAGTCCACTGATAGGGGAGGTCCTCCTCCCCTTCCATCTGACCCTAGATTATCAGGTACCTTCAGGACTGGCTGCAATGTCCTCCTTTGTGGCCTAGCAAGGCTGCTCCTCCCTTGGGGAGGGGGAGGTAAGAGAGCCAGCCATGTTCATGTCAGAAATAGTCCCTGTTCCCCTTACTAGGGAAACCCACTTGGATGCTGAGCTACCATGGGCTACATAGTAATAGCCAGAACCTAGAAACAACCCAGATTTCCATCAAAGGAGGAATGGATACAGAAATTGTGGTACTTTCACACAATGGAATACTACTCAGCAATTAAAAACAAGGAAATCATGAAATTTGCAGGCAAATGGTGGGATCTAGAAAAGATCATCCTGAGTGAGATACCCCAGGAGCAGAAAGACATGCACAGTATATATTCACTTGTAAGTGGATACTAGACCTATAAGATAGGATAAACATACTAAAATCTGTACACCTAAAGAAGATAAATAAGAAAGAGGACCTAAGGTAAGATGATCAATCCTCACTGAGAAAGAAAAAATGGCATGGACATTGGAAGTAGGAGAAAACAAGTAACAAGACAGGAGCCTATCACAGAGGGCCTCTGAAAGACTCTACCTAGCAGTTTATCAAAGCAGATGTTGAGATTCATAACCAAACCTTTGGCAGCGTACAGGGAATCATATGAAAGAAGGGGGAGTTAGTATGACCTCGAGAGGACAGGAGCGCCACAGGGACTAAATATATCTTTCATGAGATTGTTTCTCCAACCAAGGAACATGTATGGATATAACCTAGAACCCTGCTCAGATGTAGCCCATGTTAGCTCAGTATCTAATTTTAGTTTTATTGTAATATCTTTGTCTGGTTTTAATATTAGAGTCTGGCCTCAGAGTGAATTGAATTTTTTTTTTTTCATTTTGGTTTTCAAGAAGAGTTTGTGTAGACTTGGTATAACTTTTTTCTTGAAATGTTGTTGACTTTCCTTACTTAAAAAAATGTAGTACAAATTCAGTTCTTAAATAAGGCTGTTCAGCCTACCTGTTTCTTCCTCTTGCAGTTTGAGATGTAGAGAATTTGCTTATTTCATCCCAGTGTCAGTTTTACTACCATAAGGGGTTTATTCTCTTATGATCCCTTAGTACCTATAGGTTTTGTAGTGCTGTCACTCTTTTATCATCTCATGTTGATAATTTTTTTTCTTTGAATCTTTCCAACCAATCTGGCTGGAGGTTTACAGTTTTTGTTGTAAATGTTTCTTTAGTTACATTTAAAAATGTTTTTGTGTACATTCTTGGATACCACTTTTTCTGAAATTGTACTTAATTCAAGAAAACCTTAGAACTTGAAAATGCTTTTTTAAAACCATATTTTACTTTTTTAAAAATGCTCTGCCATTTAACTAATAATTGGACTAATAGAGGAATTCTAGGTTCAAAATAATTTCTACAAACTGAGAAAGTTACATAAATTATTTTCATTATTCTAGATTACTGAAAAGACAGTTAGTGGTAGTATGGTATTTCCTCCTTTGAAATTGGTCTAGAAATTGTTAAGAATGGTATTGAGTTTACAGTGTAAGTATGTACAAGCATACTAACAATAAATTGTGTCAACTATTTCATCATGGTTTTCTAATTTATATTTTTCAGACAATGAATGATTTTGACTATTTGAAACTACTAGGTAAAGGCACTTTTGGGAAGGTTATTTTGGTTCGAGAGAAGGCAAGTGGAAAATACTATGCTATGAAGATTCTGAAGAAAGAAGTCATTATTGCAAAGGTAACTTGGTATAAGAACCAGTGACTAATTTTTCTATAGTATGAACATGTACCTGTGTTCATTCTTTTAAGTGGTGGCATAGAGATTCCATGAAGCAATCAGAGTGTTGATTATGAACTATTACTCGCAGTAATACCTATCAGTAAACAACAGTGTAAAGTTTAAGGGTATCAGTAGTGTATAATATTACGTAAATTTTATTGAAGCTGTGTTATTCACTTGAGGAAATTTTTTATTTGTAAATGTAGAGGAGTTTTTAAGCTAAATATTTGTGCTCTACATCGCTAATTACATTAGTGTTACTTTCCGTATTTTTTGCTTAGTATGTATGTGTTACATTCTCTTTTCCTCTTTTTCTTTTTTTATTTTTATTCTGATATTAAAGTACTTTTGATTTTTATTCTGATGTTATAGTACTAAACACAGTTGTTCAATGGGTAGCACCCACATGGAAACTAATACAACAAAGTAAATACAAAGCCTAAGCACATTGAACATTGCCTTTTCCTTCTGATTTTATGTTCTTTGTTTCTTCATTCTATTATTATTATTACTGTTTACAATTTATTCACTTTGTCGTCCCCTTCCTCATCTCCTCCAGGTCTCTACCTTCCTCAGTCTTCCTTCCCAATCCCTCTTCCCTACTCAGCAGATATGGGAAGTCCTCTGGTTCCCTTGAGTCCTTTTATATCCCCCCTTTTCCATTAGACTCCCTGTGCTCTGTCCAAAGTTTGGCTATGTTAATGATTAAATATGTTTCATTGCTTACAATGTAATAACTGTACTGTGTATGTGAGGTTTTGGGTACAATTCACTGTACCATGTATGTAGAGTACAGTTTGCTATATTCTGTTTATTCTCATATGTGGGTATTTAGGGAAAAGCTAATATTCTGGGGAAAGACAAAAAGGTGTTTTTTTTTAATCATGTTGCAAAATATATAAGGAAATTATTTAACAATAAAAGAGTGGGATTGACTCTTCTCCTGAACAAGAGAGAGAGAGAGAGAGAGAAAGAGAGAGAGAGAGAATGAGCCCGACACCAGAGAGACTGCCTACCAAGAAGTCTCTTGAAGTGAGTCATCTCTCAGTTTGTACCTGCATAAAAATTAAATAAAATCATTCATCAGTTGAAGGAAATATAGTCTGTTTTCATTTCCTAGCTGTTATGCATAGAACAGAAATGAACATGGCTGACAGGATCCATGGAGTAGACTATTGAGTCCTTCACGCATATACCAAGAAGTGATGTATTGATGTATATACTTGTGTGCATGCATGTGTGTGTGTGTATTTATATGAATCATAGGTTAATTTTTTAACGTTTTGAGGACTCTCCTATAATGATATCCAGAATGACTATATCAGTTTGCAGACCTGTACTTTTATGATGGCCTCTACCCATCTGCCTGTCTCAGGCATTGTCTGTTACAGTTTCTGGTGCCTGCTAGTTCCTGGGGTGGGGAGAATCCCCTTGGCAGTGTTCTGAAGGAGATCTCAGCTTTTGGGGTATGGTCAACTGAATGGCAGTGCTTCTCAGGAATTGCCACAGTTCACCTCAGGCATATGGACCTGTGTCGTAACTGTGGTATTCAGGAAGGCTCTCCTCAAGTCCTGGAGACGGCTACCCTACTGCTGTATTTAGTGAGCTGCTGCTGCTGCTGCTGCTGCTGCTGCTGCTCTTAAATTGTATTTGCTGGGCGCAGCCCTTGTGAAGAACCAGGGAGTCCTGTGGTTTTGTCAGTTTAGCTAGGGATAACTGATCACACCTTGGAGCAGTATCTGAGGGCTGCTCCATTGGCTCCCAGGCTTTTGTAGGGCACTCATGCCTGCAATAGAAAGCCCGAGCCTAGAGTCTGCGTGAACCCAGAAAGTCTTCTGGAGCTGGGTGTCCTGAGCCTTGGACCTGATGTTTTACCTCCTGTGGGGTTTCCTCTCAACAGAGACACCCAGACTGTGGTGTTTTGGGGAGTGCAGTTCTGTCCAGGATTGCAAGTAGGACACACAGGCACAGGCGTGTGGCTCTGCCTTGCTGGTGATTGGGCACCTGGGCGCTTGCAAAAACTGGTTAACTTTTCCTGAGAACTCTTGGGGAGGGGGGCGTTGGCTGAGTGCTCTGAGGTCAGACCTGCTGTTCACCTCACTATGGGTTTCCACTCAACAGAGAAACTCAGACTCTGGTGCCCTGGAGCCCTCAGTTCTCTCCAGGGCAGTGAATCAGGGGCTCGCAGGCAGACTCTGTGCTGGTGCTTGTATGCCAGGCTCTGGGCGACTGCCAGAACCATTGTCTGGGTGACCTAAAGTCGGTCTGATTGTTTCCTGCACCATGGGGTTTTCTCTTGACTTAAAATCCCAGTCTCTGGTGTTGTGGGGCCCACAGTTCAGTCTGGGACAGTGATCAGAGCACTTGCCTGCATGTGGCTCTGGGCTGGCGACCAAGCACTTGGTGGAACTGGGACCTTTTCCATGGTTTAGCTGGGTGACCTGAAGCTGATTGAAGCCCACATCGTGGGATTTCCTCTCACATGCAAAACACAATCGCTGGTGTTTTTAGGACCCAGAGTTCTGTCTGCTGGTCACTGTGCAGATCCTGCTGTGCTGCTGGTCAGAAAGAGTGTCCTCCTGGTGCCGCCATCTTGGATCTCCAGAATACTTTTTTTTTTAAACTACATTTCATTAAGTTGGGAAACCTAAAAGAAACAAATGACTTTCTACTTTCAGTCTAACCACCAAAATTAAAACAAGAAGTAAACAACCAAACAGAACCACAGCAAATGAGGAAATGAAAATAGAATAAAAAGTCTTCCAACCAAAGGTGCCCAGGCCCAGGTGGACTCATAGTAGAATTCTACCAGACTTTCAGAGACCTGTGGTCAATCCTTCTTAAACTATTAAAACAGATACAAACAGGAGGAACACTCCAAAATTCTATATGACCAGTATCACTGTAGTAACAAAACCAGTAAAAGACACAATTAAAAAATAATAGAAAACTAGAGATCAACATCCCTAATGAATACATATTAAAAAAAAAAAACCTCATAAAATAGTTACAAAGCAAATACAGACATAAACATCAAAAAGATTATCAACTATTACCAAGTTGCCTTTGAGATGTGAGAATGGTTTACACACACAGTCAATAATGTAGCCAGCTGCGGTGAGTACTTCCTTATCCCCAGTACTCAGGAGGCAGAGAGGCAAGTCGATCTCTACTTCATCTTTGAGGCCTAATAGTTTCCCTTCTACTTGATCCATTCTGCTTGAAAGGTTTTCCTTTTGCATTTTCTAGTTGGGTCACTGGGCTTTTCTATTTCATCTTCATTTCTACTTGGGTCCTCTTCAGTGTTTCTATTTCTTTTTTTTTAATTTAATTTTATTTATATAGTTATTTATTGCAATTTATGGACTTTGTATCCCCTCGGCAGCCCCCTCCCTCATCTCCTCCCATTCCCACCCACCTTCCCTCTTCTCCCCCTATGCCCTTTCCCTAGTCCTCTGATGGGGGGAGGATCTCCTTCCCTCTATCTGACCCTTAAATATCAGGTCTCATCAAGACTGGCTGCATCATCTTCCTCTGTGGCCTGGCAAGGGTGCACCCCGCAGAGGGAGGTGATCAGAGAGCCAGCCACTGAGTCCATGTCAGAGACAGCCCCTGATCCCCTTACTAGGGAACCCACTTGGACACTGAGCAGCCAATGTTTCTATCTCTTTATTGACTTTTATTTAAAAATTCTGGATTGTCTTCATCACTGTCAGCATCATACTTGTGTTTCCTTTGGCATCACTCACGTATTTATTCTCTTTTAGTTCTCTTTAAATTTATTGAGCTTTTTTTGTGTCTTTTTTAAGTTCCTTAAAATACTTAATGAAGTTTCTGATTGTTCTTGTAAATTCTGTGTCCTAGGGTTCATCTAGGTAATTCTCTTTGGCACACACATAACCGTTTTACTCCTCCAAGTAGGTAAAAAAAAAAAATCTTGAGAAATTGAGGAATATAGGAAAAACAAATAGAAAGGGAAGAAATATTAGAACTTGGAATCTAATTTAAAAGTTCAGTACTCAGACTTTCAGGATGGGAAGGTTAGAGCCATGGTTTAAAAGCTTTAAAAGTATGATATGTCTCATAAAAAGCAAGCAGTGAAGTAGGTTGCTAATACTTGGCTTGTGGAGACAGTGAGCAAGTAAACAGTGGTCCTTGAAGTTATTGTGCTTTAATTAAAATAGTGTGCCTTCTGCCATCCTCCTGGCATGTCCATACTTATTTCATCTTCTCCTCCAGTCTCATTTATTGGTCTGGAGGGAAGGAGGAGGTAAATGCTTTCAGATACAATATGTCCTGATATCAGCAAGCTTGAGACCTGTTGTCAATATACAAAAACTAACAGGAATAAAACTAGGACCTAGTCTTGTAGATGTTGAGCTGTTTGAAGATAGGCAGTCTTGTGAAGTAGAATTGACCATTGTTATTGGAGCTAGATATGGATTAATACCCTCTTTCATCTGTGCTTAAGAAATTATATTCTGTGAACTTCAATTTACTACTGTAAATCATAGTCATAAACCCAAGTTTTATCTTTAGATCTTTGTTAATGGTGTAAGCATATTTTCCTGTTTGGTTTTTAATTAATATGCTTTTTTTCATTGTTTTTTTTTTTTCTCATTCACTCAAAGAAACAAATAAAACTGTCATAAAATAGTGAGCAGGCAAATGAAGGAAGACTTTTAGACCATATATCTTGGTGATAACATTAGAGAGAATGATTGCACCTCATGCCCTCAGGAGACGGATTCCCTCTAAACTTCTTTCTTTGAAAGAAATTAGACTTGAAGATTCATTATTTAGTATTTCAGGATGGTTGAATATATGGAAATCTGTTTTTCAAAAGCTATTTTATAAGAATATAATTTTTCTAAATCTTAGTACTTCTAGAACTTTTCATTTGTAATTATTATCAGTGAATGAATTTAAAATAAGCATTGCATTGTTTTAGCCACTAAATTTGGTCACTGTTATTTTTAACTTTTTGTTTTGGCATGTTGCTTTTAACTGTAATTAAAAATTATTGGCATCTGTGTTTATTTCTTAGCTTGAATATACCATATCTTCATAGAAAAACTAATTAGTATGTGAAGTACAGTACCATTGAATTTGTATTAAAGAGAATATTTCTGACCTTATATTTAAATTATGATAGGAAATACATTTTAATATATTAAAATTGATCTGTCTTATTACCTCTTGTTTGTTTATAACAAGAACTTTCTTACCTTATACTTTTTTATATCTTTGCTTTGCTATGTACATGTGGTTAAGTAGACTGAAGAATTTAGAGGAGGAAACGTCTTCTTACCACCCCCCCCAATTTTTTTGAGACAATATTTCTCTGTGTAGCCTTGGCTGTCCTTTTTCATTTTGTAGTCCAGGCTTGTAGCCTCAAACTTGTAGAGATCTGCCTGCCTCAGTCTCCCTGAGTGCTGGCATTAAAGGTGTGCACCACCATGCCCAGCTCTCCCCCCAAATTTACTAGCTTTTGTAGGAAAATATTGTATGTATGGTTCTTTTACCAAAGCAGAATGAAATATCCTAAAATGTTTTCTGAAGCATCAGATTTTCTTTTTTGATATTATAATGGTTTGTTAGTCACTGTTTGCAGTACCTGTCTAGTTCACTGACTCAGATTACTGAGCATAGTAGCCCCCAGCAGGTAAATGTAGTCTCTTTGGAATATTTTTTTCACTGCATATAATTGCACATTTCTTTTGATTTACCTTTTTGGTGGAGGCATGTGACTTTTAGAATATTTCTGTTCATTTTAAATCTAAAAATTTCTGAAACACCCCATTAGTCCAAGTTATCTTATTTCTATCTTGAAGTACTTTAATGTCTTCTGTTTTACTATACTTCCCAATGTAGAGTTAGTAAATGGTAAAAAGTGGAAATCGCGTTGGGTTAGCCACTATTCTCTTTAGTTGGCATTGGATCACATTACAACGCTTAACATTTTTCAGTAGCAATGGATTTTCCTTCTCTGTCTGATTTATAATAGAATATAAACAACACTCTTGCTAATGAGTATATTACTTCTTAAATTTGTTAGTTATTTATCATATTCACTCCCCGGTGAAATCTGTGAAGAAAGAAATCTTACCTTTTTCTTATAATACAGCTCTATACCAGTATTGCCATTAGCATTGTAAATGTATACTGCAAGGAATTTTTAAAATGAATTGGTTAGTTCTGTTTATCACTTGCTTAATTATGTTCTTCATCTAATTCACATGTTTATGTGACATTCATTATCCAGTACCCACTTGGCTTTGTCCATTAATACTGATCATTGTTTGACTTATTAGAATGAAAGTTTCATGAGAACAGGGACTTCATTTGTTTCTTTGTTCCTGACCCTGTGTGTGTAAGTTAAACCTAGATAATTCTGCATAGTTGTTGAAGTAATGCTTGAATGAATGAGCTTTTGCCTTTATGACATTCATTCGATTCCAAACATTACTTACTTGCTATATGGTAACCATTATACTAGGTACTAATGAATATAACGACTTAAAAAGTTCTTGTATCGTTTCTGATTTTTATTTGTTTTCTATGAAATGTTATTATGGTTGATTTAGGCATAACAGTATACTATGGCAATGACTTTTAAATTGTTTGAGCACTTAAAAATTGGATCCTATAAATTAAATAAGACTTATCCTTGGTCTAAGTTGCTTTAAATAGTACGTTCTTATTTCACTTTACTTTTCATTCATACACAATTGATATTCCCTTGCCAAAATGGCCTCAGAATATTAGTTCCTTTGATAAATCTTTTTCTCATTTTTCTTATAGGAATAAACTAAGGTTAAATGCTTTTTATAAGATAATAAATATGATTCAGTTCCACGATGTACTATTCTCCATTTTTATCTTTATGATCTAATTTTTATTGGCCAACTCTCTCTAAGTAGTATCTTCTGATTTCTGAAAAGTGGTGAAATTTTTGTATTATTAGTATTTATGAAAAGTATTTATAGTTTTTCTTTTCATTTTAGGATGAAGTGGCACACACGCTTACTGAAAGCAGAGTACTAAAGAATACCAGACATCCATTCTTAACAGTAAGTGCTTAGAGGACTCTGCTATTATGATATTTTAAATTTAGCAGGGTTTTATTATAGAATAAAACTATGACAGTGTTTTAAGTAACATTTATTTATGTGTACCACATTCTTTATGATAAACTGTAAATTCAAGTTCTTTGAAACTGTCGAAAGACATAAATTAATTGTATGGTCTATATGATAGGTATTTAAAATCCTGCATTGTCTGTCATCTTTTTAAAAAACCTTTTCTTCCACCTATGAATCTTCCTGACTTTAAAAAATGTTCACATACCAAAAAGGCCACCTCTGCTATTTTAAGGGGTTCATTGATAAAATGGTAGACATTTAAAAGTTTATTTTTATTTTATTTTTAAATAGTAATGCAGTCCAGGCATGATGGCTCGTGACTGTAATTCCAATATTGAGGAGTCTGTGACAGGCGGCTCTTCCCATGTGAGGCTGACCTAGGCTCTCTAGTGAATCTTAGGGACACCTTGGTTACAGTGTCAGAACTATCTCAAAAGAAAAAAAGTAAGTGAAGATTTTATATTTGTTTTGTTCGCTGGCTTCAGAGAAGTATTAAAATGACCACATAGCCTTCTCTTTAGTTTTCAGAGGTCAAATGTTTAAAACCAGATTTCACAGAAGTAAGATATCTTTTTGTGGTGGAAATACAGAGATGTGGGATGTATTAAATACAGAGTGAGAAAGTACAAACCCTGACTTAATGCATCCAGTATGTTTTCAAACAGGCTGTTTTAATCCAGTCCGGGTTGTTTGTAAAATACATGGTAAATAGAAAGTTTATCTATGTGCCTTACTCTACCAAGCATACTAAGATTAAAAATAACAGCTGCAGTTTAAAATTGGAATCCTTTATTAACATTTAGGACTACCTAAAGTAAACATTCTTGGAGTAATCAGTACATACCTGGTCTTTGTTAAAGTGTTTCATATGTATTTTTCAGTGTAATAAGAACATTTTAGTCTCTTTTTGTGACTTACAAAGTTAACAGGGCCTACCTTATTGATTAAGTTAGACCAGCATATACAAAGTAACACTGAAATGATATTGAATATAGTAAGTAAGAGGAACCCTGTTCCTGAGGAGCTGTTACTACAGTTTCCTGTAGAGACTACAAAGATGAAGGCTAGAACCTTAAGTACTAACTCAGTTAAAGCTGTCACAGTGGATTGAAAGTACTCATCACTATTACTAAATTTACTTTTATTTACCGTATTCTTAGAAAGCACTCTTATGAAGTAAATATGCTGTTAAGGAACAATATGAGTTCATCAGTTATGCTGACTATTTTTAAGTGTTTTATTTTTGGTACCATTATACTTATAAAAATATAGGATTATAATTAACATTGTTTTTCTTTTTCATTTGAAGTCCTTGAAATATTCCTTCCAGACAAAAGACCGTCTGTGTTTTGTGATGGAATATGTTAATGGGGGAGAGGTGAGTCATATTGTGGTAAAACATTTTTATATTTCAGAAATATTACTGGGATTCTGAACTATGTAAAAAGGACAAAGCAAGCGAATACCAGCATTCATCATCATTCACCATTTTTGACTCTGAACTGTGGCTGTCCTGTGATCAGATGCCCTCTACTTATTTACTGGTTTTAGATTTATTTAGGTGTGAGTGTTTTGCCTGTGTGTTGTTCCTGTGCAGCACATGTTCCCTTGGTTCCCACAAAGGTCAGAAAAGGGCATCAGATCTTTTGGAATTTGAGTTTTGAGCCAGCTAGGAATTGGACATGGGTTCTCTGCAAAAAACAAGTTCTCTTAAACATTGAAACACTTCTTCAGTCCGGAGAGTATGATTTTTGAAATTATGTTACTAGGTTATGGAGCCATAGGTGCATAATTATGTTTTAGATAACCTTTCAAGCAAACCTTCTGTGGAATTTGTAAAACTTTTTAACCTGTTTTGAACTCAGCCAAAGTGTGTTCTATAGACACATTGTAGCTGAACTTTTTGCCCTTGTATGTGTTAGTAGTAACTGAGATGAAGATTTTACAAATCTTACAGATTTGAGGAGAAATTAAATCATTTCACTAGTACTTTTCCTTTATCTCCTTCCTGTTCTGAACAAAGTTGATGTGAAGGAAAAGTGTAATGTAAGGAAATAGTAACTCGAAATACTTTAAATACTGAACTTTCAGAAATAAGTATTAAATAATATATTAATAAATGTATTAAATAAATGTATCTCATAGACTTTTAAATATTATTTTGCAATCTAAATAAATATCTGCTAGATATTTTAAAATATTCTAAAAATAGAATATTTTTCAAAAATGCTATCTGATATAGAAATTATTTTATTTTAACATTTCATTCATTTACTTGGTAAACATGTTCTGAGTGTTGAGACAGTACAGATTTATTTAAATGTGTTAAAATATTGCCTTTGTTATAAAGGAATATGTAGTTTCTATTGTGAGCATATTATCTGTTAGAATGTATAAGCCTTAAAAACAAATAAATTCATACAAGACAATTAATTCCTCATTAAATGTAGGCTTTTTGAGGTTTTATTTGTGGGCTGCCTAAACCGAAGTAGCACGTCAGGTAGAGAAGACAGGTTGTCACTGGTGGGTGAGCACAGAACAGTGAAAACTTGAGCAGGAGGAGAACTATAGCGCAGGTCCAGAGAACTTGGAACTTGAGTCAGATGTCCATGAGATAGGAAGGAGATAGGGCTGGAATCTATAGTTTGTTGGATATGGGTAAGAACAGATAAAGATCCACACATGAATTATTGTTGAAATCATGTGAAATTATTGTATATACTCAAGTTATGAGAAATATTTTTGGAGTGAGACTATAACGTTGATTTTTTTTTTTAAGAGTTTTTACTGTTATCTTGGACTATATGTGTTGAATTAGAAGAAAAAAGGAGGACTGATTTGGGAGCCATTCACCTAAAGGTTATAATTTTACTCATAGAGGTAGAAATGAAAGTAATGCAACTTCCATCTTGGTACCTGTCAGAATTTAAAATGTAGATAATCTTTTCTGGGGAAGGGGTTTTGGGTCCATGTTTCTTCCTCCTCCCCACTGTAAAGGGTTTTCTCCGTATTGCCTTGGCTGTTCTGAAATTGTTTTGTAGACCAGTCTAGCCTTGAACTCACAGAAATCTGCCTGTTTATGTCTCCCCGAGTGCTGAATTTACAGGCATTTGCCACCTTGCCTGGCTTAAAATATATATATATTTTGGAATCAGTATAATGCTTAGTTCTCAATTTGATCAATTTCTATAATTTCTTAGGAGATGGGCCACGGGCATGTCTGTGAAAATCACCTTCAGTTAACTGAGGTAGCAAGACAAACCCTCTAAAGTAGACCTGTGACCTGTTCCCTGGCTGTGGTTCTGAACTATATAAAAGGGAAAAGTTGATCAAATGCAAGCATTCATCATTCATCCCTCAAGCTCCCCTAACTTCCCCACTATGCTGCAGTATTACCCTGAACTATCAACCAAAATAAACCTTATATCCTGCTTTTGTCATGGTATTTTATTCCAGCAGTAAAGCATTCAATTCGATTTCCAGTAGTTATAATCACAAGAAATAAAGATGCATGACCAAATAGTATATGGATAAAGACATTTATTATACAGCTGTGTTATCTTTAAGAGGCTGCTTAAGTATATTAGGTATATAAAGTATATATATATGTCTATATGTATATAGACTTTGCAAGACGAGAGAGTACTATTATGCTACTCTTATGAAGAGAGAAAAGTAGATTATGTACATGTGTACATACCTTTCTGTGTATGTGTGAGTATCTCATTATCCACTGGAATTTAGAACTGGCTTTGTGACTTAGTATAGGGTGGAAGGAAAGCTTTTCACATGTGTATTCTAGTGTAGCTTGTATACACACAGTTTTTGTGTACTTAGTAATTAAAAATAAGCAAATGGATGGATGAGTAGGGAAGAGAGATAGGTAGGAAATGGTAATCTATAGGCAAAACTTGGAGCACTGAGTACAGTTCAGGCCAGAAAGCAACATCCATATAATTAATTTCTAAAGTGTAATAATGTGAGAAATCACAATGCTATTAATATGCTAAAGCCATTCTTTGTAATTTAGCTACCATTAAATTTAGATGAAAATTATAAAAATATCCCCAGGATAAAATGTGATGTCTGACAACTAAAGTAATTTCAAATAGGGTTGAAAAAGTTTCCATTTAAACCTTTCCAAAATTGTCTTCACCTCTGCATGTTTTAAAGACTATAAATTGGCCTCCTGTGATCTCTCACAGGCTCAAATTTCATGAAAAGTGGAGATTCATGGCATGGTGGAATCATGCTGACCTGTTACACATAGGATAAGTTGTTAGTGTTGTGTTACATCCTTTCTGTAGGAACTACCAAGCCCACAGTTTCCATTATCTACTGCTCATGCTTGTTAGCACTTTGTGCAGTCTGGATTAATGTCTTTGATAAAATTCATTTTAGTTTTTGCATATGACTTTCAGTTACATGTCATTCTTGAAATCCTCTCTTACTTATTCGGATTTTTCATTATTTGGCTGGCATTTTCTCTTCTGTGAACCAAAACCATCTCATTTTAAATTCACATAAGACAGAAGTGCCGGCAGTCAGCATTTGAATTCTACTTACTAATTTGTGGAGGTGTGATTTGGGTGATTTTTAAGTTAAAAGTATTTCAGATTCATGGTGATGCTTTTAAAACTTGATTTTTACTAAATTTGTGGGTCTATAAATATCTTTATTACCAGGAATCTGAGTTATTAAGCTCTATGTAGATTATGTCAGAATTCTGTTGCTTTCACCCAAATGGTTTCTAAAAATTCCCAGGCCAAGAAAACTACATTATAATATGCACATTAACATCTAAAGTTCAAGGCAAAATGAGCTTTATTTTATATGCCATTTTATGTTATAATTTTATAGTATTTCTAGACTAGTTTCCTAAACCATTATAGGACTTCAGTTAAAGTCACCAGAAGAAGAGTTAGCAAGTCTCTTTGTCTAAGATGGTGAGCTACTTAGAATTATAACCAATGACCAGGCAGCTCTCAGTTTTCATGATTTTTATAGGCCTGAGGGCTATGGTACAGAATGACAATATCTAGAAAACCAGATCAAGGAAGCATTAAGAAAAACTAGATTTCTTAAAAGTTGCTTACCATAGGAAATCCTTTTAAAAACGGCAACTAGGAAACACACACACGCACATGCACACACATACATGTACACACAAGCATGCTCTAGAAAAGCAAGAAAATGCCAAAAATCATACTTAAATATTGAAAACTGTGGTTTCAAAACAGTGCATAATCATTTGTATTCTGTATCTTTCACCTACCAAAATACTTCTAAAATCCTTTATGATGATTATAGTATATACTCAGAGTTTATTTCAGTTTATGGGGTTACTATATTGCAGTCATATTTCTCAGTGTCTGTCTGTAGTCATAAGACAGACATCAGAGCTCTTTGCAGTTTGGTGTTATGAGGTCAAGAGCTATTGTGAACATTACAGCCAGTGACAGACTGTATCTCAGGTTCATAGAACCCAAGTGATGACACCCCAGGCTCTCCTCTTGCGTCTGTGTACATGTGCTCATGTAACTGCACTCCTATGTGTATATCGACCTTGGGTATTCTTTAAGAGTCATTTACCTGTCAAGATAGTGTTGCTCATTGAACCTAGGGATGCTCAGTTACACTAGTCTGTGTGTCCTGGGATCTACAGGATCCTGTTTCTGCCTCCCCACATGCTGGGATTACAATCACATGCCACCATGCTGGACTATTTGTATAAGTTCTGAAATTGTAATTCAAGCATCTCAGACAGAACTGAACTGTCTCCTGAGCCTCTTCCTGATGTTTTTCCTTCAGGTTCTTGGTTTGTTAGTTCTTTGGTTAGTACTTCCTATCACTATCCTGTTTTGTTGCTTATGCCTGACCTAAGGTAAATGGTACCCTGAGATTCTGCCTTCAGTTTTGCTGATTTTTTTTCTTTTGGATTTTACTTAGTTTTGTGGTTTTAACAATTTCCTTGGTATCTATAATTCTAAAATTGGAATATGACATCAGTTGCATATTTAAATTTCAGTAGGTCAGATTAAAGCCCATTGCTTCTATGTCCCTGTCACCATTTTTTTTCCTCTATATTGTTTTCAGCCACATCTCCTCAGCCAGCCACAAGAAAACCTCAATATCATTGATCTCTTCCTTGGTTCAAATTCCTTTGGAGTACTGATTCTTCTGATGGGTGCTTATGGTCTCCTTAGCCGATGGCCCTCAGAAGCACTCGTCAAGATCCAACATAACTTCTGGTGTTCCCAAACACCAGAATACTTATTATTCCAAAGCCTTTTATAGCACTTGCCATGTTTCAGCATGTTATTGTGTCCTGTGGATTAATGCTATTTCCTTAATGTAGCAGGTTTCTATACCAGTGAGTACTAAATAGGGGATGAGTAACTTTTGTATAATTTCAGAAATTGTTTACCTGAGTATATCCTTGGATCCTTTTTTTTCTTGTTCATATAACAATATTTTTAAGATTATGATCCTTTGTGTATAGTTTTTTGATACTCCTTATCTACATAATAGAATTCCAACTCATACTATGGTATATAAAGTCATAAATAAGCTTGTCCTTTCTCCCTCCCTCCCCTCATCTCTGCTCTCTCTCTTCTCTTTCCCTGTCTCTTGTTCTAAATGCGGCTTTTTCTTCAGCCACACAACTCCATGTTTTCTGCTACAATTTTATTGGGAACTTGTGTGAACAATTTTATTGTGAACTTGAAGCATCCTTCAAAACTTAAGTGAACATTATCTGTGACATATTGCCAATCATATAAATTAATCACTGTCTCCAAAGTGTCTTTTAATATCCACATCACAGAATGCATTACCACTTGCTGTTTTTGTTTATGTGAATATAATGCATCTTCATCATTGAGCTAGAATTCCTAAATGATGAGGATTATGTCTTTTTTTTTTTTTTTTGGTCATTTTGTTGTAGTTTGATTGCTATATGGAAAACTAAACATAGTTAATGAGTTTGGAGATGAGTACATACTCTGAGCCCTTACCATAGGTGGAGTTGTAAATAAGAGAGTATGTCTTAGGAGTTATTGTATTCCCCACCCCCTTTCCTAGTCCTAGTGCCCTACAGAGTTGCCTTAAAATAATTGATAGTCATTAATGAATGTTAGGTTGACATGTTGGTTTAACTACAGGACAGACACTAAGAACAATGATCCAGAAACTTAGACCATAAATTAAGAAAGCCGTGTTAAACCAAGCCAAGAAACATGTTTTGGGAAAGAGAACTCCGGCAGTATCCTCACCTCCAGACAGCTACAGGCCACTGCTAGTCCTTACAAAAGTAAATTATAAAGTAGCAAAAGTAGACATCACATGGCAGTGAGTTCTGAATATAGAGTTCTTCTTCTTATAAAACTTGAGCTGATATTTTTATGGAAGTTGGCTGGCAGACAAAATGTAGCTATATCATCCAAAAAAAGATATAGAATTTTGAATACATTATATTAATTTAGAGAGGCCCTATATCTCTTTTGCCACTGGATAGCCAGTGGCAGAATTAACTTTTTTTTTAAGAAATCTAGACACTTAAAATACTATTGCAGCAACATTGCTATCATAGCACCCGTTGACACTACTGGCACGTTAGACTCAACATGGCAGATACTATTTTTTTTTTTTTTTACAATTTTTTTGATCTTATAGTTCTTAAGTATCCAGATTCTGGCTGTTATGAGTAAAGCTGCTATGAATATTGTTGAGCAAATGTCCTTGTTATATGTTTGAGCATCTTTCAGGTAATATGGCCAGGAGTGGTATAGCTGGATCTTGAGGTGGCATTATTCCTAATTTTCTGAGAAAGTGCCAGATTGATTTCCAAAGTGGTTTTTTCAAGTTTACATTCCCATCAGCAACAGAGAAGGGTTCCCCTTTCCCCACATCCTCTCCAGCATGTGTTGTCACATGAGTTTGTTCATCGACCAAGGAATGGATATAGAAATGATGGCACATTTACATAGTGGAATACTACTCAACTATTAACAACAAGGCAATCATGAAATTTGTAGGCAAATGGTGGAAACTAGAAAAGATCTTCCTGAGTGAGGTATCCCAGAAGCAAAAGGACACCCATGGTATGTACTCCCTTATAAGTGAATAATAGCCATATAATAAAGGATAAACATACTAAAATCCATATACCTAAAGAAGCTAAATAGCATGGAGGATGCTAGAAAAGATGCTTAATCCTCATTCAGAAGGACAAACAGGATAGACATCAGAAGTGGAGAAGACAGGGTGCAGGACAGGAGCCTACCATAGAGGGCCTCTGAAAAATTCCACCCAGCAGAGTATCAAAGCAGATGCTGAGACTCATAGCCAAACTTTGGGCAGAGTGCAGGGAATCTTATGGAAGAGGGGGGAGATAGAAAGACTTGGATGGGACAGGAGCTCCACAAGGAGACCCAACAGAGCCAAAAAATCTGGGCCTAGGGTAGCTTGCAGAGACTGATGAATCAACCAAGGACCATGCATGGAGATAACCTAGAACCCCTGCAGAGATGTAGACCATATGCAGCTCAGTCTCCATGTGGGTTCCCTAGTAAGGGGAGGAGGAGCTGTCTCTGGCTTGGACTTGGTTGCCTGCTCTTTGATTACCACCCTCTGCCTCACCAGGAGGCTGTCAGATACTAGTGGACTAGGAGAAAGGCATGGGAGGAGAGAGTGGAAAGGCGGGTGGGACCTGGAGGAGATGAGGGAGGGGGCCACAGTGATCTATATGGAAACAGCTATTTTCTGATCTTATAATGTAAGGCACATTTTTTTATTTAGTTCTCTTTAGTCATAGAAATGTTTTGAGCACTCACCATGACATCTTCCTGCCTATTATTATTATTATTTACAATTTACCTACTTTGTATCCCAGTTGTAGCCTCCTCCCTCAGCTCCTCCCAGTCCCCCCCTCCCTCCCTTTTCCTCTCCTATCCCTCTTCCCTAGTCCACTGATAGGTGAAGTCCTGCCCTTCTGTCTGACCCTAGCCTATCAGGTCCCATCAAGACAGCCTGTATCCTCTTCTCTGCCTTAGCTAGGTCGCCCCACCAGGGAAGTGTTATCAAGGAGCAGACAACGGAGTTCATGTCTGAGACTGTCTCTTCTCCTCTTACTAGGGAACCCCCATGGAGACTGAGCTGTCTATGGGATTCTTACTTCATTTATTATGTCTTTCTTTTCCACAGCAATTCTTCTTTGACTTTTTAAACTATTATATGTCTAATATCCACTTATAGTGAGTATATACCATGTGTGTCTTTCTGCTTCTGGGATACCTCACTCAGGATCATCTTAGATTCTGATGTGTATACCAGCCCTACATATTTTTAATCTTATGATCAGGCACATTTTCTTATAATTCATATTTTAATCTCATAATTGTCTTAAATATGTGTTATGCAAACACTAAAAATCAAACTTATGTACTTATATTTATATGAGGCAGAGATCATTTAAATTAGCAGTCGTGGCAGATTTTATAATAAATTTCAAACAAAAACTAATAAACAGTTCATAGTTCCTCAGATCTGCTTCTTGATGTCTGTTGTTCTAATATTTTTTATTTATGATATACATAATGTTGTTTGTTTAGCTTTTTGTGGTGCTGGGAATGGAACACAGGGCCTTGAAAGTGATAGACAAACACTATCCCTCTGAACTGTATCCTCTGAGAAATGAGATATGGATATTATTCACTGAGTGATAGGACTTACAGTTTCATAAAGCTAGAATTTAGTGGTCACAGTAAGTGCCCAGTGAATATTTTCTGGCTGTTGATGTACCTTTGATTAACTAGAAAATGAATAGGTTTATAGTGTACGTAATCATAGGAAATCATAGTTAAAATTCAAATGAAAAGGGTTATATATTACAAACCATATCAGTCATGATAGAGGCCTTTTAGTCCAGTTTGGACATTGTTAAATGTAAAACTTCAAAGTCTTGAGATTTCTTATTACAGGAAATGTTATTTCAAATTTGAAAGTATTTCTAAAAATATGAGAAATAACAATTGTAGGCTATAACTAGCTCACATAAATGAGTTAAAGTAAAATCCATATTTTTTTCATTGAAATCAAATATAACTTAAATAATTAAATAAAAATACCGTATCCATGCCTGTGTTCATTTATTTTGATGTCAATATTTATTCCTTGTGAGAGTAGAACAGCAGTATAGTTAGAAGGTAGTACAATCTAATGATGCATACTTTTTCCTCTGGTACCTGAAGGTTAAATGGGTAGCAAGCAGAATGCCTTAAACAAGATTGGTGTATTGATTAAAACGCTGATTTAACAGCTCGCAGTTTCCCCTTGGAAACCTGCAAAAGATAAGCCAGCTGCTGTCTTAGAGTGCTCAGTGTCCACTGAGAGTACACTATCTATCATCACAATATGGTGATGAGAGGTGTTTTATGTTTGTGTTAATTTCCCCCACTAAATCAGTAATTATTACAATCCTGTCCCTGCTGTTTACCCTGCAGCTGTTTTTCCATTTGTCGAGAGAGCGGGTGTTCTCTGAGGACCGCACACGTTTCTATGGTGCAGAAATTGTCTCTGCTTTGGACTATCTACATTCTGGAAAGATTGTGTACCGTGATCTCAAGGTAAAAAAAAAAAAAAAAGTAATCAAAATTTGTTTTTTTTTGTTTTTTTTTTTTTTTTTTCAGAGACTGTAGGGAAAAACAAAGTAATTACAAAGTTACACAGTTTTGAGAAAAACACTTTTCTTAGGAACGTTGTTGGCTGTAGTTGATCTGAAATTTCAGTCACTAATATGTAAGTGGTTCTTTTATGTTTTTGGTTTTTGGTATATAAAAATTCTCTTGACTGTGCAATACAGATCTTCTAAGAGTAATTTCATTTTACTGTAAATACCATAATTATAGAAATAGCAAATGTCTGAGGCAAAGTCATATAATTTGCAAGTTGATTATTGTCTTCAAACATCCTGAAAAGTTTATGAAGGTGCTTCAATAACAAGGTTACTGGAAGGAAAATGTCCATTTTCATCGTACTGTTAACTTTTTGATAGTAATATAGTTCTCACATATTTTTCTATTAATTCAGTAGTTTGTTTAGTTTTTCATTTGTCAGAGCCCAGTATTCATCATGCTGGTAATAAAATGCTGGTTGTCTCTGAGCTCTTGGGAGTAGCCCTTAGAATAGCTAGAATAAGAGCACCCTTGAAAGGCAAGATAGTAAATATTTTGGCTTTTTCTGCCTGTCAAGTATTTATTGGAACCATTCTGCTAATCCAATAAAAGGTAAAAGCACCTCCAGCCATTATGTAAACTGTATATTTGGCTGTTTCCACAATCATTACTTCCAGAAGCAATCGGTGGGTTAGACTTGATTTTCATACTATAGTTTACTGCTCTCTGAAGGAGAGCATTTAAGCAAATGATAATTCTTATGATACAGTTATGAATAAGGTTGGCTTTGTTAAGGATTCTAATCATGACATAATTTTGACAAATTCTTCATTTTAACATCTTCCTTAAATTGTAAATCACAGGGCTGGGATCACAGCTCAGTGGAAGGACACTTGCCTAGTTTAATTATATCACTGAGTTCCATCCCAGGACGTAGGCACCCGGTGCTGGGGTTAGGGTAGGGAAGCTAGAAGTGGTAGTCCAGCTGTACTCCTCCTACTTGGAACACTGAAGTGTGATCACAGATCTGAGGCTGCCCTGGGCAATTTCGTGAGACTCTGCCTCGGAGTAACAATATTGAACTGGGAGATAGCTCTGGTGGTAAAGTGCTTGCTGTGCAAGTGAGAAGACTTGAGTTCTGACTTCAGTTCCCACATACAAGCCAAGCGTGGTCATATAGTTCTGTGGCTCTAGCCCTGGGAGAGTGAAGACATCCTGGGAGGTATCTGGACAATCAGGTTAGCCTAAATGGCAAGCTTCAGGTTCAGTGCTGTTTCAGAAATTAGGTGGAGAAGTGATTGAAATCCTAGTGTCAGTTTCCAGTTTCCACGTGTTCTTACAGGTATACAAATTAACCAAGTGATTGTATTTAGATTGATTATTTTTAGAACTTGAAATATGGCACAATTTAGCACCTTTATAGGAGATTCTCTAACACATGCATGTGCATGCATACAAACACTATACACACTTACCAAATGTGTATCTTTAGCCCAGTGGGCTTGCCTACCATCCCAGTATGTAGAGGAAAATGGAAATCTTGTGGTAATGCTTGCCTATTAAAATTTGATTAACAGTTGCTTTATTGATCATATACCTAGTTCATTTAAAGGATAATCTGATTTGTAGAAATGGAAGTTATATGCAATTTTTTTTTAGAATTCCATTTTGTATAAAATGGGCTATTTTTTAAGAAATCACAGTTATTTTTTTACTCCTGTCTCATTTATATAAAACCATGTATAACTCTTAATTTTTATCTAATTATGTAAACAGGTACCTATTTTGTTTCAAGATGTTCTTATCACTCTCATTTATAAGTACCTGTCTTAAGAAGTAACTGCTTTATAAAATATCATTTTGTACAGCAATAATAAAATGTAGTTTATATTGTTGTAATGTCAGTTAAAACTTTAGTGAAGGATTAAGATACTGGACTTAAAATAGTGAGCTATAGAACATATAGTTCAGGGTGGCTAAATGTCCAGGTGTCAAAAGGAGATCCACCAGATGGTCATGTTTAGTGTATTTTAGAATTAGAGAGATGACAATTCAGCACCTTTATATTTGTCTATGTATAGACGCTTTAAAAAAACCTAGTTACCTAACATAACAATATGTAATAATTTTCTAAATATACTTAGAAATTAACTCTTCATGAGTTTACTGTTTGCCTCACCACTTGTGCTTATGAGCCCTACTTATGGGAAACAAAAAGGGAGAGAAGCCTGTAGTTAAGGAAATGAGAATAGTTTTGAAATATTGGGTAAATCCAAAACAGTTAGTTGTGGTAGATAGAATTAACTAGTTTATAGATATCTAAAGAAGATTGTTCATTTGAGTGCTGACATTGATATTGAATGTACCAATCAAGAAGGTTTTGATTAGTATTGTCTACTAACATTTCTAATCAAATGAATTATATTAAAGTTTTGGTGCCACATAATTTATGATAAAATTAGATTTAATTCCTTGATGTTAGATATATGCATGTTCTTTATGTGTGAATGCCTGTCATGCAGTTAGAATAAGCAGACTCTAACTTTACCAGAGTTAAAGTTAGTCTAGTCTCTAGACTCTGTTAGAGTTAGTCTGTTCTCTAGTCTCTCAAACTTTTCCATTAATTTAATGGAATAGGATAGAAAGCATATGACTGTCATAAAATACATAATTAAGAAAGCAAAATTTAAAATTTGTATGCATCTTATTTGCATTCACAGTTCAAAAGATTATCCATGACAAAATGGGATCATTTAGGAAGGATCACAGAAATTCAGAGCTGTTGTATATATCTGAGACAATGTTCTGCAAGTGTAAAACACGTTACCTACTTAAAGTAACACACTAAATTGACACCAGTAAGATTATTGGAACATAGTTGTGTTAGTCAGCTTTCTGTTATGATAGCATAATACTTAACTTAAAAAGAAAAGGGATTTATTTTAGCCTGCAGTTTGAGTGATTCCATTCTTTTTTAAGATCAGGTGGACCTTTTGCTTTTAGGCCTTTTATGTGAGGCTGCCACATAGCACTAGAGGAAGCACATGCCAGAAAAACCTGTTTAACTCATTGGTGGGAAAGCAAAGAGAAGGGAAAGGGCACACTCACTCTCCCCTCAAGAATGTGGACCAAGGGACTAGGGTTCTCACTGGACCCCACTTCTTAAAGGCCCCACAAGTTCCTTTCTCTTCTCTGCAACAGCACCAGTCTGAGCATGAAGCCTTTAAAGGACAGCTAAGGTGCATAGTACAGCACCACAAGTTCTCTTTCCTGTCTGTGTCCTTTTGTTTATGACATTTTTTCCTAGAATCAAAATTAAATCTAGATAACAAAATGAAAATGGATTAGGCTATGTATAGTTATTTTAAAAACCTTTCTGATATGTACACATGTGCATTTAGTGTATTTAAATAGATGTGTGTACCGTGATATACCCTTGGAAATCAGAGGACATCAGCTGTGTGTCAGTCTACACCTACCTTGTTTGAGGCAAGGTCTCCTGTTTTTATTGCCTGTGCCCTGCTAGGTGGATCTTAAGTCCAGAAATTCTGTCTCTACATCCCATATCATTGCAGGGGCACTGGGGTTATACCTCCCATGGGTCCTGGGGATCCAGACTTGGATTGCAAGCCCTGTAACCACCTGAAGCATCTTACCAGCCCTTATATTTATTTTTAAATATTTAATTTTTTATTTGTGTGTCTGTGTCTATGTCTGTGAGTGCTCACACATACCATAAGGCCATGTCAGATCTCCCAGAGATGCACTTACAGGTGGTTGTGAGCCATCCTAGTGTGGATTCTGAAAACTGAACTCCAGGCCTTTAGAAGGCTAGTGAGTGCTGTGAAATGCTGGTTATTACTCCACTCCCCAGATCCTTAGATTTATATAAATCTAAAATTTATGAAAATATTAGAAAGACTATTTTCGATACTAGATGATTTTAAAGAAGCATCTCAAAAACTGGTTCTTGGCCAGGTGTGGTGGCTCACACCTTTAATCCCCATACTCAGGATTCAGAGTCATGTGGACCTCTGAGTTTAAGGCTGGTTGTGTCTACACAGTAAGTTCCAGGACATTCAGAGCCACAAAGTGAGACCCTGTTTTAAAAAAGACCTATCCCCCAGCCACACAATTTAGTTATGAACTCATTTTGATCTGTCTGAGTGGACCCTGATCTTACACTGAATTGGTAACTATTTTTAGAGAGTGTGTTAGTGGGTGTGTGGTATGTGTATTGGCATGCTGTGGAGAGCAGAAGACAACTTGTGGGAGTCAGTTCTTTCCTTCCACTGCTTGGACTCCAGTGATCAAGTGCTCTTACACACTCAACAGTCTCCGGTTCCTGGATTTCTTCCTATTGTAATGTTCCCAGTCATGACTGGAAGCAAAGCCTCATGTCATATTAACTTAGGATACTTTATTTATTTATTTTTTTAGTTTCATAATAACAAATAATTGTTAAAATATTTGTTGTGTTTTTAGAAAGTAACACTCAAATTACTAATATATAATGTCATACAAAATTGTTTTATTAAGGATGTCCTTAATAAATACTTAGGTTACATAATTAAAACTGATTATTTTAGGATACCATAAAAATTTGAAGACATCTCTTCCAAGACTTTTCATAGTCCTTAATTACAAGTACACTATCTATGTATAATGACCATAGCTGTCCACGACCAGACAAGGCTAAAGATGTACATAAGCAAATGTAAATGTAATGGTCCCAGAATTAGACATTAATTTCTCTTAGTGATTATGAGGGGATAGAATGATAGGTATGTTGCTACTGTATAATGTTTTTTAATATCTAATTTATTTTTATCTAAACAGAGTATTAGAATACTAATAAGAGATCCCACAATTGTCCTTTTACCACAGACTATGTAGTTTTCATAAGCTCTCTGTTCTTCTGAAATAATCGTGTGTGTGTGTGTGTGTGTGTG